CTCTTAGTGCTGAGAGATTTTTCCTTATGCTTCCAAGACTGTAAGAAAGTGGAGTGTTGCTTGTACCTAAGTGAGCTATCCAGATAGATCATCTGAGTACCACAGTAGTCAGAACTCATATATTTTGCCTTTATTTGTAGGTCTTAGTACAGATGATTGTGTGAGTACTCACTGGTAAGGACCTTGTAATGGTGAGCAGAATCAGCCATTTTGGACTTCCTGAGTCAGTGTTAGTGTAGCTTAGAGCATGAGTATAAGCTGCACATTGGGAAATGGCAGGGATGGTACTGTTTTTCTGGGTCTCACAGCTGTGTATGTTTTTTAGACTGAAGGCCTGGATAATACACCTCAAAATCACAGTACGCAGACCACTGTTTTGAGTTCAGTGTCCAGGAGGGAAAAATCATGAACGTTGTTGTAGTCTGCAATACAGATGATACCAGGCCAGCCTGTACTTGCAGGGCCTGCTACAACATGCATAGGGAGCAGAACCCACTCCCTGGTGGAGCAGCAGTGCTTGGTTCTTTGTTGTTCAGGTGTTGAAGCCTGTCAGATGTATTTGGTTAGATGAAAAGTCTTGAAAGAGAAAATACTGTTTCTCATACAGAATGTATTGTAGTCCTTATCTGAGATGACCTTCAGCCAGACACTGCTAGGTGTGCTGGTATAAATCAATAACAAACCCAAACTCCTTGCAAATTAGCTCTCTTAAAGTGGTATGTGGTAGATGATGTTGCTGAAGGATGTGTAGAAGCAAGAGGTTTCATTGGGAGTTTTGACAGATGCTTTCAGGAAGAACTCTTAGCTAAGTTTTCATAGCCTATAACTTGGCTACCCACCTGCCTTTGAACATCTTAGTTTTAGTGAGATTTTGTTCACTACTTTTTTTACAGCAGTGGTTGATGGCACCAGATTCCAAGGACTGATTGTATTTTGGGTTTTAGTCAAAAACAGTGAGTTTGGGTTTTTTCCTTCCTGTAAGTTATTACATGGTCAAGAACAAAGCAGTATTTAAAAGGAGTGGGGTGAAGGAGCTCATATTTTAGAGAAGAATTAGAATCATAGAGCCATCCAGGTTGGAGGAGACCTCTAAGACCATCGAGTCCAACCATTAACCTGACACTGCTGGAACCCCCAAACCAGATCCCCCAGCGCCAGATCCAGATGCCTCTTAAACACTTCCAGGGATGGTAACTCCACCGCCATCGCCCTGGGCAATCTGTTCCAGTGCCTGACCTGATTCGAATTGGCTTCGAATCGCTGCCAGTTGATTCCTTCAGCAGAGATTGACTCGGAGCTTGCAGGGACTGAGCCTTGGGCAGTGGCTGCTCTCGGTTTTTTCGTTTCTCACTGCTGCCATCTGCTGGCGCCGCGCGGAACCACAGCCCCTGCGACTGGGGCCGAACGGTAGGGAATGACCCAGAACGTGAATTGTTTCACCTGCAGAATGAAAACTATCGAGCAGTTTTCCAAAAATACGTGCATCTTTGCTTTTATTAATTGATTTGAGAAAGTATTATGTTTTCAAATCATTGCAGCCCAAGAGCAGGACAGAAGCTTTTTTCTTTTTTTTGTGGAGCTTTTTGTTTCGCTCATTGTGAATATTTTGCAGAGTTCTGAATTGCTAACCACAGCACTTAACAAGTATATATGATATTTTAGCAAAATGTCATGGTCAGTTTATCAGAGTGATATTTGTGTATTTTAGGAAATAACACTTTGGTCAAACAATATACTTTGTATTGTAATACAAACATTAAATACCATAAATACCTTCCTTAGTTAGAAGCTGAGACTGCAGTTGTTTGAGGTGAAGCTGAAAAATGTGGTATGCTCAGAAGACTGACAGGCTTAGTACATCAGTCTGTTACAGAACTGGCTTGTGTCCAGAAATACAAGCAAGGAAAGCCTTGTAGTGTTCTCACGTGTCTGAATGCTTAACCTTTTCTTCCTGAAAACTTGCTTTTTGGGATGCCAGTGGTGAGGTTAGGGTGGATGTCTCTAGTACAGTAGTTGGTGTTCTGCTGCTTGAGCCCCAAAAGATTTTAAAACTTCATTTTTAAATTATTACCTCATGCTTTAATCATCTGTACAATGAGATATTTTACCACGAGGCATTCCTTCACCAAACTGTGCAGTTCTGAGCTGCCGTCCCAGAGGAAGGGCTTGACCTTCGAGCAAGTCAGAGTGTATAGGGTGTTTCTGTTTCAGGTGAGGGTCGTGCACATGGGGGCAGAGCAGGGGTAGTAAGGAATGTGATGACTTGTCTGCCAAAGTTACTTCTGTCTGTAGTTCTGTGGAGATTTGATACTCACTCTGTACTGCTTATGGCATCTGAATCACTCTTCTATTGACTGTAAAGGAAACCTATGATGGTGAATTTTTAGCTCTGCCACCTCCTTCCTGCAGTTCTTGGTCTCCTCCACACTGTTCCCACCCCAGTGTAGTGGATAAGTGGAACAGTAACAGTTCCATTCAGAGCTCTAGTGAGCATCTGTTGTAATTTAGTGTCTGTGCCCCCTGCACAAGCATTTGGAAAAAACCTTTGCTGAAAGCTGATTCTGCTCTAAATTTGTATTTATGGTACAATTCTTTTAGTACAAAGACTTAATTGCCTTTCTGGATCACCTGATTTTCTGCCACCATTTTTCTGGTTTTCCTTGTCCGAGTGAGGCTGGTTTTTTTCCTTTTTGACCTTGTACTTTGTTTTATGAGTATTAAAATAGTTGGAGATAAATGCATGTTTTCTGTATTTTGTTTTTGGAAGCTTAATGCCTTGCTTCCCACAACTGTTACGCCTCTAAATATTAAACTTTGTTCTCTAAAGTGGTTTATAGATTGCTAGAGTAGGTAGAAATGGGTTTAGGGAGTAGGTTGTATTGTCTTGCCTTATCTTTTGCAAGAGATAAGTTTTTGTAGTCGATGAAATAAATAAATGATCTGTCTTTTTAGGACACTTCCATTCTGGTATCTTTTACTGAGTGTTCCTGGGTTGAAGTAGTTGGTATTTAGGTCGTAGTAATAGTTATTTTTAATGAAGGAAACTCTCCTAAATTAATTGTGGCACTGCTGAAGGATGGATTGTACCAGAATTCCCCCCTCCCTGTCCTGTATCAGTAAGCCCTCCTGCTCTAACACTGCTTATTGTCCAGCAAGACCTAGGTTGGGCACTGGCCATGGACAGACTAACTGTGCTTCTGCTTGTCCCATTCAGGAGATGCTGAAGAACAGCAATGGAAGCAATGCAGTGGCCAAGACCCTCTTGTAGTGGAGAAAGAGAAGTTAAATGCTGGATGATAGCTATTGCCTCTTTCATTGGCATTTTGTTGGCTAGATAATCAGAAGGGTGAACTGGCTGCCAGGAAAGATGTAGGGTTACTGCACACATGTGTTAGGTGGGTAAATAGGTAGAGGCAAATGGGTTGGAAAGACACAGCTTTCTGTTTTAGCCATGGGTTTGATGAACCTGGCAAGTTCTGAGCTGTTTCTGGAAGCTAGTTCCGATAAACTCTGAATATAAAGGCACGTTTTCAAGTTGTGAAGGGGTGTGAGAGAGTAAAGCAGTGTTTTTCTGTGCTTGAAATGATGAAGAGCAGAGTTAGTTTGTCTCATGCTAGTCAGAGGTTGTATTTTTAATGTTAGTACTGCACATGATTTGTGTGCTCACGCTGTTTGCTCAGTCTCTGCAGCAAGGCAGCTGATGACTGTTAGAGACATTAATGTTTTTAAAAAAGATTTTTTGCTTTGGACTCTGGATGCTGAAGTCTTCACCCAGTAATGCTTTTAACCAGAGTTTCTCTGTTTAACAATGTTACCATGTAGTAACCTCGCATGGGAAAATGTTCATAAGGAGAAATGGGCCACCAGAACCATTAGTGGGGCACATCCAAGTAGATGTGAAAATGCTGTGCTTTGTTTTTAGAAAACTGATGATTAATTATATTTTTACAAAACGTTGCCAACAAATGTTAATTGCTGGCGGTCTTTTAAATTAAACTAGTATTGCTTTGTGACACCATAAAAAAACCCCTCTGTTGAGTATCTTAATGTCTAAGAAGAAAACCAGCAATATCTATTTTAATTTAAGATTTAGAAAGAACAACTTGATTTTAGAAATCAGTTCAAGGAATTAGTAAGTTTTTTGAGATGAGAAATACAGTTCAATCCTAATAAAAATTAGAAGAGGGAACCAGGCCTGATTTGTGGTGTGAGTCAAGCCACTTCAGTTGTAGATGTTTGTATTTTGCTGTGCCTTTCAGTGTGAAAAACAACCCACTGTAGGCAGCCTGGACTCATTTGTCCTAGTGTGATTGAATCATATGGTACAGTGAAAAAGCTGCAAGTTGTCTCAGTCATGAGAGTGTACATATGCTTGCGTGCACACATGAATGTAGCTGCTGAAGAAAGGTAGTGAAGGTATTTCTCATGCTCAAAAACATCTTCTGACGTCAGTATTCTTCTATCTTGTCTTTCATGTTGTGGGTTAGGGCATACAAACCAGAGTTGTGTATTAAAAGAGGCAGTGCTTTGATTGCAAAACATTGCACAGATTTTTATCACTTTTTTTCCTTTTTCTTTAAAGATAAACCGATAAAAACTGCCTCATTGAGAAAGATTTGCCCTGTTGGGAGTGATTTGCCCCTGTTAGGATTTCTGCTGTGGGACAGTGGGTGCAGACAGTTCCCACCACAGCTGCTGGGGATTGCTGCAGGCCCCGGGCCAGAGCTCCTTCCTGTGCCCCTTCCCACCCCTGGGTCTTCTGTTCCCTCCTGCAGCCTCTGGTACCACCCTGGGGTCTTCTGTTCCCTCCCTGCAGTTTCTCTTACCACTCTATTTTTCACTGAGTGAGAGGGCTGTTGGGGGGGTGCGAGTTTGTTCCCATCCCCACCTGCTCCTTGAAACAGAATCAGCAGGGTATTAATTAGAAGTTGTGCAGCAAGTACTTCTGATTTATTAATACAAATCACATATTAATTGATTTATTCTTCATCTCTTGTTTGCCTTGCAGACCAGAATCTGTAGAAGCTAGCCCTGTGGTAGTTGAAAAATCGAACAGTTACCCGCACCAGCTGTATACCAGCAGCTCACACTCACACAGCTACATTGGTCTGCCCTATGCAGTAAGTCCTGTGCTAAGTCTTCTGTACAAAATAGTTATGTAAAGTCTGCTGTTCTTAACTGGAAAAGCTGATTCATGCTTATATTTCTGTATTTTACTGGGAGTTGGGGAAGATGACTAAAGGTGGTTGATGAGAAGCAGAATACAGAATCTATAGTGCACTTAAATATAAAACATAATTGAGAAGTTAGAAAATATGACTGAATGATGACAGAAATAAGATTTTAACCTATTACTAAAAAATTAAAAGTCTTTGAAGTTCTTTGCCAAGTGAATTATTATACTTTGGCTTAAATAATCATCAGTGTTTGAGTATTTCTGAGTTTTAACTTCTATTTTAACAAAAATCTAGGACCATAACTATGGTGCTCGGCCTCCTCCAACGCCTCCAGCTTCTCCTCCTCCATCAGTGCTTATAAGCAAGAATGAAGTAGGCATATTTACCACTCCCAACTTTGATGAAACCTCCAGTGCTACTACCATCAGTACTTCAGAGGATGGAAGCTATGGAACTGATATTACCAGATGCATTTGTGGCTTTACACATGATGATGGATATATGATCTGTTGTGACAAATGCAGGTAATGAATATTAAAATAATTTAAAAGGTAAACATTGCTTAAAACTTCAAGCTGCACTGAAAATCAGTGTAATAAATGATGGTTTAATTAATTTAAGTCATAGGAAATTTCCTTCCATCAAAAAGGTGTTTGAAGGTTGTGTGGTTTTCTGCTAGGCAAGGTAGTTGGTTTAGGTCAGTGAGTAGTTTTTATACTTTATTCCAGTCTCTCTTGACTACTCATATTTTTAATGCCTTTACTTGTGCATTGCTGTGCAATGAAGGTATATCTGCTTCCTCTCTGAAAAGGATGTCTCTGATATTTTCTCCAAGTTATTAGCATGGTAAAATAAAGATCTAGGGATTACTTCATCTGTGTGTAGTGTGTAGTAAACCATCTTGGTAACTTAATGTATGTAAATCAAGTAACTTGAAATATGAACCAGAATATGAAAGAAGCTTCAAAAAATGTTGGTTTCTCTGTGCATGATTTTTCTGGTAAGAACTCTTTTAAAATTTTCAAAGGATGTAGTTTAAAGAATTTTAATAAGTGTGAAAAGACTGACCTAGATTCTTATTGGAGAAGCTGAAGTTAAATGTTTAAACTTCTGTGATTATGCTTAAGCACCTCTTGATCGTAGTCTGATAGGAGAGTGCTATTAAATAGTTGGAGTTGAAAAAATAAACTTTACAGGAGAAGACAAAGCCCATGTTTCTACTCACTGTTAGCCTGTGTTGTTACATTCAGTATGCTGAATGCTGCTGAATTGAATAGATCTTCCTGTTACAGCTAATTAAAACATTAATTTGAGCCCCATTCTTCTGTCTGCCTATGTAACAAGCTTGTTAGTCATGTCTGATAGTCCTTGATTCTGATAACCTTTCCCTTTATTTGGAAATGTGTTAAGATGTTCTTTCAGCAGTGGAAACAGCCTATAACAGGCAGTCACCAGTTAGGTAGAGTCTGCTTCCTTTGAAGGAGAGATTCTCTGTGAGGAGTTGGAAAGAGCTGTGGTAAATTCACGAATGGGAAGATAACCATTTCTGTGTCCCAGTTCTTTGTAGCCATGTGGGACAAGTAGCCTCTCTTTCCTGACTGTGGGAAGCAGTTAAAGCTCTGTCTGTGCTGCACAACAGTATTACCAGTCATGTGTGGTATATATGTCTATATATACAAGTAAAACATTTCCTGCATCTGTTTATAAAGGAAAGACTTTTGTTTAAAAACAAACCACTTTTTGCTATGTAAAGAGTAAGTCTTGTTGCTGAGGGTATTTTTCTCTGTCCTGTTCTCTATTGTGGCAATTTACTGTTTTCTAGTGTCAGAGAAAAGTTTCCAAGAGGGAAAATGAGTCTAAAGAAGCAGAGACACCAGGAGACAGCCACAAGATTGGAATTACAGTGATCAGGGGAATAGAAAATCAGCTAGCAGAGTGGAGGCAAAGACAGTGATTGAGATGTAGTTTTAGACAGTATTCGACCAGAGTGAAGATCATGATGAACAAACAGCTCACTTCCTCTGTGTGTGTTGTGCACAGTTTTTAAACTTGTACTTAAAAGTTGGGGTTTTGTTGTGTTTCTTTTTTCTCAGTGTCTGGCAGCACATTGACTGCATGGGGATTGACAGGCAGCATATTCCTGACATATACCTGTGTGAACGTTGTCAACCCAGGTGAGTAGCTCTGTTGATTTTGAACTCTGAATTAAAGTAAGTTGAGTAGAGATTTGAAAAAGAGTTGCTGGGGGGAAAAAAGTTGATTGTTCTGACAACTAACATATGAAAGAGACTGTGCAGCATAGTCCTGACAGTTCTACTTTGAGCTACATTTCTGGTGCAGATGATCTTACCAGCACTTGTTCACAGCAGTCATTGTTTCACCTCACTAGGCAGCAGGGGTAAGCCCTTCAAACACTGCATCAAATCAGCACTGAGTCGTGGGTCCTTCCTCAGGCTGACCAGTACATAGTCCATTCCATCCTGTGTCTTGTGGCTGTCCTGCATTAGGAACAGCAGTGTTCTCAGGTGAACTGCCCCACCAGTGCTTTAGTGGATTGTCCTTACAGCCCTATTCCAGTGTGCTGCAGTGTTCTCCTGGGGGTTTCTTGCTCTGGAATGAGTATTTGCATGTACTCTCCTTCTTCCCCTCCCCCCCTCCCCAAAGTAAGGTCATATGACAAGGAGGTTCTGTCTCCAGTAGGTAGATTATACCTGATTGTCATCATAGTTGTCCTGTGATGTAGAGTATAAAATGCTGCCTGTTGCTTATGTTGCAGATCATTAATTAAACAGCAGAAAAAGATGTGTTTAGAGTCTTTCAATTACCAATAAATTGTTCTTTTATTTCTGAGAAATAGTTTGGACCTCATCATCATAGAATATTTGTTCAGTATTGTATTGTGAAGATTGTTCTGAAGAATCTGCAGGAAAATGCTTTAATGCCTGCTCGTCTGTAATTCATGGATCAGCTGTGGATCTTTGTCTTCTGAGCTATCAAGTTTGGTTATGTTTTCAAGTGATTTGGATATGTGCATGTGCCTTGTATTAAAATGGAACAGAACAATGCACAACTGATGTTTTTTGAAGAGTCTAAACTTTCACTTAGTTTCCTGTTTATTCTGTAATGGTCAGTGGGAAGTGGTAACTGTGAAAATGTCTGTTTGGATACTTAGATGCATTGATTTATTTTCTAATTTCAGGAGTTTAGATAAAGAAAGAGCAGTGCTGTTACAACGAAGGAAAAGGGAAAATATGTCAGGTGAGTAAAGCCTAAAGCTTTTTCCTTAGTGAAGGTTATAAAGTAAGTATAAATCAACTGTATAGACCTAAGACTGCACATACATGGTTCTTGTAGTTTTGACAGTCTTCAGCATATAAGGTTCAGTAAATCAATGCCTTTTACTTGACTTTATGATTACTAAGATAACATTATATCAGAACTGTTGTAGTTCCACATGTTTTATTAAAGGTACTGCCTTTTATCATATCAGGGTGGAGTAAATCAATCTGTTGAACACTGTTAGTTTCATAATGCCTTTGTAATAACTATAGTGCTTCAAGTAAGGGTCTGAAGATGAGATGGAAGAGGTTCAAGTTTCTTCTTTCAGGATGAGAGAGGGTTGCTAAGTCTACTTTCTTTTTGGAAATAATTCTCTCACAGCTCTGTTGTGAAAGGAAATCCTAATTCGGACCTGGTGGACCTATGGTCTTGGGTTTGTTTTGACAATGAGAAAAGTTGCTAAACTTAGGTAATACAATGTAGATAAAATGATGTTTTGAGGGTTTTTCAGCCTTTGATAACTAGGTAGTGTGTATAGTGCAAGTGCCTATTTCCGTCTCTGTATTTTATGGAATTAGCTCTCCTACCTGATCATAGAATTCCAAAACTCATCTGGCCTAACTTGCCAGGAGTTCTGCCCAGCCATTACCACATTGTGTTGTAGCATTCTTGATTCACAGGTGGTACTTTCAAGTTCTATTACAAAAGTAATCATCTGGCAGGAAGTCATCCTCCTAAAGGTGAAGTGTTGTACTTTGATATCATGTCTCTGAAGTAGTGAGGGGTGTATGTGTGCTTTAAGATTTCTTTAAAAGACACCATGTAGGTAACATCCTGCTGCTTACTTCATATGCCTTCAGAAAATCTCCAGAGTGTGGTGTGGCATAATTGTGCTGTCCAGTGCTAAACAGCCTCAGGTCCCTTAAAGGCATTAATGACTTTCTTAGAAACCACAATAGTTTTTTGTCTTCTCTGTTTTCATTTGAACAGAACCAAACTTGATAAAATGAATTTTGGTTGTCCTGCTAGGTCATGCAGATTTAAATTCTAAAATTTTTTTTTTTTTTTTAGAATTTAAAATTATTTTGGCTGATTTTATGAAAATTATAGAACAAATAGATTACAACTCATTTGGAGTTAATGAGTTCACTGAGTGGTGTGAGGATGAACTTGAATTTGCATACAGGATAGGGGAAGTTGATGGTCTGAGCTATGTAAGTTACTCCCTGGGACTTGCTGACACACCAGCTGATCATTTACTGTAAACTTAAGGGAGGGAAAATACTCAGAATCTTAGTAGGAGCTGAAGAGATTTTTACCTTTGAAGTTAGTGTTCAGCCCTCCTTAAACCTGTCTTCTAAATCTCTTACGTGCATTCAGTAAGAAAAAAAGTACTAAATGGTAAATCTGAAGTATCAAAACAGTTAAAACCAAAGACATTCTAATACTCCTTCGTCTAAAATTTGGTCAAAGTGTAATATTGATTACTGTGAATTATATTACATAACTTGAATATATGTTTGCGTCTCTTAACTTTGATTTAACTTGGCTAAATGCACTTGTCTGTATTGGCTGATACTGCATGGGTCAGTTGGACTTACTGATCCTTGGTATGAGATACTAATAAATGGCCAGTTTTCATAGGTGATTCCAAGTAGGAAAAGCAAAAGTAGCATCAATTTGAATGCATTATTTGGATGTTCTTTGATGTTTCATTTAGAGATGAGAATTCTTTACAGTACGATGATTTTTATTGTAAAGGTTTCTAAACAGTTGCTGTTGTAGGTGTGTTGCAACAAAAAGTAAACAACGGGGAGCTAGTAGCAGATGAGTTGTTTTGCTTCAAGAAAAGAGCTTTTAAATGAACATTGCACGTGATAGAACATTTGGTGTCTTAATTATGAGTAACCACATCACATCTTTCCCTGGGAACATTTTCAGCCCATTGTTCTAGGGCCTGTGGTTGGATGTGGTGATGTTGATTTTGTTGCTGGGGTATAAAAGTGCAATTCTGATGCAGCTTACTCTGCATCCTCTGGTTCAGTGATGGGAGCATCTTTGTTAAGCCCCTACTTGGTTGTATACTGGATATTTTGGTGTCTTTTTTCACTTTGTTTTGTATTATTTTAAGAACAATATCTAGATGTGTAAGTTATTAGGAATGTTGCTTCAAGCTACCTGGTCTTGAAATTGATGCTGACAAGACCACTTGCAGCTCGTGAATCTGGGCCCATAACGTCTGAAATTCAGAGAGAGAGTTTGTATCTTCCCTTCTGACATGCAAACTCAAGATCTGACCTTAGTGTGCTTTACTAAGGATCTTACAGAATCGTGAAGGCTGGAGGAGACCTCTAAGATTGACTCCAACCATTAGCACATCACTCTTCAAAGTGAAAGCAGGTTATGTAGGTTATGAAGGAGTGTCTCAAAACAACTCTGTGTAATTATATGTTCAGCTGAGGTAATTATCCTTTACAGTAAGTTAGGGCATAATGTAGGCAACAATCCTTAAGGAAGACAGTGTTTTGTGGGGCGAGGGGCGAGGGGGAGAGGTGTGTGGTGGTGGCACTAGTGTAGGAACTACAGACATTGACAATTTCAAGACGGCCTTGGGTTTTCACTTCTCAATCACTGGCTATTCTGCTGTTCATCTTTGATTAGACATGTCTTCTTAGGTGTCTTTTTATGCTAATTTAGAAAATATTCCCACGGAGATGTAAACAAATTCAGAAAACAACATCATTTCCTAATTTATAATTATGTGCCTGATAAATTGTTCAGAAGAGTAACCAAGATGGAAAAATGGGATTGTTTACTATGCACATATCCTTTTAAGGATATGCACATATCCTTTTGAGGAATGTTGTGAGCAAGAAAAATCCAGAGTAACCAGTAACTGGAGTTCTTTATTTAGTAAAGAAGGTTTCAAGAACTAGGACTGTTGAGTGCACCGATTAAGGCAGCATCCTTCTGAGCTCAGGAGCAGTGTTCTCTCTGCTCTCACCTGAAGGATCTGTAAAGCCTGGTTCTGTGCAGTGTCAGAAAGAGCCTTGCTTAGTGTGAGGTGTATTTACTGAAGGCAGAATATCTGGAAAAGCCACTGAAAGCAGGAGTCTGTACTGAGCACATGTGAACAGCACTCTCCTATCTGTGTGCACCATCTCGCTGCCAATCCTCCCCATCCTTCAAAGCCTTTCATCTTGACAGAACTAGGGTAATCCTGTTTCAGGTCGGGATATGTGTTTGTCTGACATAAATGCTGATGTATGCTAAATTGCAGGCTTTGGCCTTTAGGTCTGTGGGTGCACAGCACAAAGGAGTATCTGTCAGTTTGTGTGTGATCATTTTTAACGAGTGAAATAACTTGCCTCTTCTCAGAGTAGCAGCATGTTACTGTACAGGGATTTTGAGTGGAAAAGGCTTTTGGCTAAATGGACATATTTACCCCGAAAAAGGCACTTGACACTGCAAATTGCAGCTGAAATAGTTGATTATGACTTACATGTGATTAATTAATAGGGCTTCACAAGAAATGCTGGCCAGTCATTAATTTTAATCCCTTCTGGAATACAGTCATCTGAGAGAACCCTAAAGCCTTATTACAACTGAAAGCTAAACATAAGTGAATGAGTTAACAAATAATTTTTTTCACCATTTTTGTTCTGCTTCTAGTTTTGCTTATAATGGAATATGGCAATGTAATTCCATGCAAAGAATGGAATTGATCTAGTACATTTTTCTTACCTGGCATTACAAACATCTGTTAATTACCAGTTTCTCATTGGTCCTTCATTTTCATGCTGTTGCAACTGCTGGTGAATTTTGCATATGAGTGCTTGGAGCATTTGTCAGTATGTATTTTTGGTGTTTAAAAGCAGATGTAGAGTAACTAGTGAATGCTCTTTCTACAGTACGTGATTGCTTACAGAGTATTCTGTGTTTTAAAGATGGAGATACCAGTGCAACAGAGAGTGGTGATGAGGTTCCTGTGGAGCTGTATACTGCTTTTCAACATACACCAACTACGATTACTCTAACTGCTACAAGAGTTACAAAGGTCAATGATAAGAAGAGGAAGAAAAGTGGAGAGAAGGAACAGAACATAGCAAAATGTAAAAAAGTAAGTGAACATCGTTTTTTTACCACTGTGTTATAAATTATAGCTATGTGGCATCTCTTACCAAGAGACACTGACTTTAAAAATCATGCTTCTTTATATTTTACTACCTGATTTTAGAGTGAAATGTAATACTGTGCAGTAAATGATAGTCTTCCCTGGGTGCCCTCTCCCCTTTATCTCAAGTGAGTCTGTACTAGCTGTGAAAGTTCAGTTTTGTAATTGAGGCAGAATTTCACAGGAGGAATTGCATTTACTGGACCATTTGATATAGGTAGAGGTGGGGCAGAACAAGCTTTGGGATACCCAAAGAAGAATTCTTTGAAAACATTCATTTGGGCTGTTTGAAGTTCAGAAGTGTTTGCTCTCAGTTGTCCTGATGTGACTTCATTTCCATTTCTTTGAGTTGAAATTGTGCTGTCAGAGCATTAGCTGCTACACTGCTTTGGTAAACAGCGTAGTGACATTGCACTGTTTAGCTACAGCTTTAAGCAGTATAATACATGTGAGGACAAATGAAATGTGTGTTGAGGTAAAGGACATGGAACTTCCTAAACAAGTTGTTTTCTGTAATTCAGTTTCTTCAGCTTGGATGAGAATTTTGTCCATTAAAACTTGAAATCAGAACTAGTTATTGATGTCCCTTCGGAAATCTTGAGTTAAATGTTTCCTTTTGAAGAATAATTCTGAATACCAGTTTACTGCCATATATTCTTCTGCTATCTCTGATACTTTGCCTTGGATTTTGAAGTTCTAATGAGTCAGGTTGTAATGTGGGAGGAAGGTAGAGGTACCTGGGCCGCTGTGCACTTAGGTTGGAATGCTGGGTTGGTTTTGTGAGATGTAACCTCTTACCTTCTTGGGATCTCAGCACAGTTTGCTCTGTTACTTTCATCTTGCATGTGTTCTTGGAAAGCTGTTAATTCATTAATGGATTTTGAATTCTTGAAGAGATTTTATATTTATTCCAATGAATATAAATGTGTAATTTTATTCCAGGCATTTCGAGAAGGATCCAGGAAATCTTCACGAGTAAAGGTAATGTGGCTTTGATTGGGTTTTGTTTTAAACCTTAATTATATGTTACTTAAATAATACAAAGCATCAGAGTGTAGTTTGGGCTATACATTAAGCACTAAAATATTCTCTTCTGATAACTGATGTACTACATGTGCATCACAGTGAATTTTAATTAAGGTGTGAGCACTGCATCTTTATGCCCTGCAAAGTTAGCTGCAATGTGCAAGTTTTTATTCTGAGAATACCTGTTTTTCAAAAGCCAGTGGATGAGTTTGAGTTCATTTGTGCTATGCAAGGGCATAAAGCTGAGTGCACACCTCATTTGAACTTCATAGCTCCAGCTTTTCATAACTCTTTATAGCAGCACAATAAGGAAATGGCTGTGTTGCATTTGAAAGCTCAGTGAGCAGCTCTGCTCTGTCTTACCTCCGTGGATACTTCTGGTGGGGCTGCACTCACTAGCACTGGAATAGTAGGAGTGATGTTGTTGGGGTGTCTGCTGTGTAAGACTGAAGTGTTACAACAGTCTTAAATTTTCCAGAGATAAAAACATACATGGTGTGAAAACTAGGTATTTCCCATAGCTCATTCATGCTTGGGATATTTAAAAACAAGTGGGACTCAATTTACACTTCACGTGTCTTAAGATGTGGCTTGGGAATAGTGAAGACAGAATTGGGGAAGAGAAATCTCTATTTTGTGGGGTTTTTTTAATATGGTGCTTGTAAGGTTCCATTGTGTTTTTTCATGGTTTTCTTAGCACCACACCTTTTTTTAATGCTGTTTGTGAGTATGGTTTTCTTCATGCACAAAAGAAATGTAAACAGGTAATTTGAATTGCTGAACTACTTTGTGTTTTATTAATGTTTAATAGTGTCTCTGCTCAGGTGGATAGAAAAGGGAGCGTTGGCTGGCTGCTGCTGTCCATAAGGAGCTTTGGTTGGCTGCAGCCTGGCTGCTGCTTGTGAGGTCTGGAGGTACAATGGCACTTTCTTTAAAAGTGGAAGGATCTGAAGCACTGCAGAAGAAAATTGTATAGTGAGGAGCAGATAAAGAGAAAAATGATATGTGCAAGGCTTGTAACCTTAATGTAGTAGGTGTAGGATTAGGGAAGTTTAGTAAGTGGTGCAGCAGAAGGAAAGATACAGCATGAGCCCTGAAGCTCAAAGGGGGAAAATCAAATCTGTGTATTACAGGGTAAAAGCTGGAGTTCTTTATATTTGCATATGTTCACAGAAGTTGAGTGGGCAGGGAGGTCTGACCCTCCTGCTCCTGCATTCAGTGAGCTGTGATGCAGTGCAGCTGTGGGAGGAAACAGTGTCACTCTCCATCCTCATCCCACTGAGAGCTAGAACCTTTATTGAGGAGGGAATGTATTCCTGGACTTGGGTGATAGCTGTTAAAGGATAAAATGCTTAAAAGGACAAATGTAATGTGACTAAATGCAACTCGAAGTTTTGAAGTAATGCAGAGTTTTATACCAGACTGCCTAAAAAACCCAGACCTTAAGTCAATGGCATGCCTTTGCCCTTCATTTGTGTCCTGTTATAGAATTACTTATTTTAGTATCTTTTTTTAATTTAATCATCATCTTCTTACCTTCTAATATCTGGTCACTTGCTTTAATTTTTAGGGCTCAGCTCCAGAGATTGATCCTACTGACAGTTCCAACTTCGGATGGGAAACTAAAATCAAGGCATGGATGGATCGTTATGAAGAAGCAAATAATAACCAATACAGTGAGGGTGTCCAGAGGGAGGCACAAAAAATAGCTCTGAGATTAGGCAATGGAAATGACAAAAAAGAAGTCAGCACCAGCAATTTGATTTTCAAACCTCCAGTAGAGGTAATGAGCTGTGCCATGTCATGTTGTTGCATGCTAGGTTTGTGCCATGACAGATAACTATTGAGATGCCTTTAAAAAAGCAAAAACAAACCCCCTGGGACTTCACATTCATCTTCTGTTCTTTGTCTCGCCAGATCTCAGAATTTTAAAAGCTTTCTCAGAATTTGTAATTGATTTTTATCCATTCTGTGTTACCCCTGGTTATGTTTGTACTTGAGTGTCATTTATCCTAAAAAATAGCTAAGGAGTTAGGCTGAGCCTGAACAGCCTAAGATTGTCCTTTGTCACACAGTTTTGCAGCTGTTTCTCTGCTCTGTGAGGAATATCAGGAGTAGATAGACTAGATAGAAGCATGAAGCAGAATCTTTTTGTTTTTTACTATGTGTATTGATATTTTCATTGTCTGCATTTTTCTTAAGGTGCAGCAAGTGTTCTGGATGTGCATGAATGATGTTTCTGATGCTGTTTCTTCTCTTTACTCTTGTGATCCTGTAATTTCTAGTTTCTGAAGAAATGGTGCAGTGTCTTTTTCTAGCCTTAACATCAGTTATTTACAGGCTTAAAATCAGAGCCATGTAAAAGAACTTTGCATTTTGAAGCAGAAATCTTGAGGAGTAGTTACTGTAGCAGATTAATGGAAGCATCTTTGCTTCTTTTTCTCAAAGACCATGATGGCATATGGGACACCCTCCTTAGAGGAATATCCCTACTTACAGAGCCTTTTGCCTACATAGAGGCTACTTCCTTTTTGATTGGTGCTGACAGTTATGAGAGGTGTGAGTTCACTAATTGCCAGGGTATGTATTGGTTTTTAATTAAAAGCCATCCTTCCATCTAAAGATACGAAAATAAATTTGGAAACTCTCTCAGGATTCTTTTTTTAAACTCCTACGTTATTTTCCTGTTCTGTTTCTCCTTGAATGAACTGTGAATGTCTTTTGATGCCTGCATGTTTTGTTTTGTTGGAAGGAATTGAAGCCTTTTGAAAGTGTTGTGCAAAACAATGCAGCAATTCATCCTGGTTGTGGTGAGAGTTAAGTGCACTAAGGGATGTAGTACTTGAATTGTGAGAACAAGAATGTGTTGGTTTTCAGCCATGTCCTGGAGAGCTAGAGCATTGCTGGAATGTAAATTCACAACTAGTAGCATCGGTAGGGGGACAGGACAGTTTAGTTAATTCAGTGTGGAGGTTTAATTACAAAAAGGAGGTTCTTTTAGTTCATGCAAAACTGTTTAGTACTCGTGAAAGTATAATCTGTTGTTCAGCAATAATGAAAAATGATAGATGATGATACTTCATAAATTAATCTGTGTCTTTACAGAGTTACGTGCAAAAAAACAAGAAAATTTTAAAAGCTGCCAAAGACTTGCCTCCTGATGCACTTATTATTGAGTACAGAGGAAAGTTCATGCTGAGAGAACAATTTGAAGCTAATGGATATTTCTTTAAAAGGTTTGTTTATTTATTGACTGTTCTCCCTTTAGATCCTGTGCTGAAGGTACAGGGCATCAACTTTGTGTTCTGAGAGTACATGTGGAGAGTGTACCAGTTAGAATCATGAAGCTTAACTACAGTCATCTCATCTAGATTTGGTGTATATTGCCAAATGTCATGTTCCAAAGCTGACTGATGTGAAGAATAAGTGCTATTTAGCATCCTTAAAAATAATAAAATTCATGCTTTTCTTCTGTGTTTTTTCAGGCCATACCCATTTGTTTTGTTTTATTCCAAATTCCATGGTCTGGAGATGTGTGTCGATGCAAGGACTTTTGGGAACGAGGCTCGGTTCATCCGGCGCTCGTGTACACCCAACGCGGAGGTGAGTGTGTGCATGAGGTTAAATTAGGTTTTGTTTTCTTAGAGCTCCCCTTTTCCTTCGGATTCCCGACTGATAATTTGAGCAATCCCTACATTTTTTATCCAAGTACTTAGAAAAATACAGTAATCCATGATAACAGTAATATTCTCTTGAATACAGGTGAGGCATGTAATTGAAGACGGAACAATTCACCTTTATATTTACTCCATCCATAACATTCCAAAGGGAGCAGAGATTACCATAGCATTTGATTTTGATTATGGAAATTGGTAAGTACTTGAGGATGCTGTTCTAAAATACATCTAACGCTCATCAAGTTACCTTGCAATTCATAGTGGCTTTGGTTTTCTATCATTTACTTTCTTGCATGCTTTAATAACACAAGGCTCCTTGGGCACTGTGTTTACATTGAACAGTGTATGGGGGCAGTTTCTTCCGTATTTTTATTGCTGCATTTCTGTGGTCTGCTCATAAGTCTGCTTGGGTGCAGTGCTGTGCAGAGAATGCCTTCACTGCTTGACCTGAACTAGGTATGACCAGAGTACTACCTCTGTTAATCAGCTTAGGCTCACACTACTTTGAGATACCTCACACTGTTAAGTGTTGTAGCCACACTTCTGCCTTCCTCTTTAATATCTTTATCAGTGACATAGACAGTGAGATCAAGTGCACCTTCATCAGTTTGTAGGTGACTTGAAGCTGAGTAGTGCAGGTGACACCACAGAAGGATGGGATGCCACCCAAGGGGACATGACAGACTTGAGAAGTGGACCCACAAGAACCTCCTAAAGTTCCAGCAAGTCCCTGCACCTGGATTGAGGCAATCCCAGTACAGCCTGGGAGAAGAACTCATTGAGAACAGTCCTGCAGAGGACTTGAACATGGATGTAAAGCTGGACATGAGCTGGCAGTGTGTGTTCACAGTCCAGAAGGTCAGATGCCTCCTGGGCTGCATCAAAAGCAGCTTGACCAGCAGGCTGAGGGAGGTGATTCTCCCACTCTCTACCCTTAGACACACCTGGTGTATTGCATCCAGGTCTGGAGTCTGCAGCACAGGGAAGGCATGGACCCGTTAGAGCAGATCCAGGAGGACCACAAAGATGATCCAGAGGTCTGAGCACCTCTGCTGTGAAAACAGGCTGAGAGAGCTGGGGCTGTTCAGACTGGAGAAGAGAAGCTCTGAGGAGACCTCATCGTGGAGACCTTCCAGTACTTAAAGGGGGCTTATAAAAAAGGGAGAGTGAATTTTTAGTGCTAGGACAAGGGAGAATGGCTTTAAACTAAAAGATGGTAGATAGTTGATAGTTTTCATGGGGTTTGCTGTTTAACCTTTTAAAAATATGTATCGTGTTTAGTACCTGCAGCTGCCAGGCTGGGTCAGTTGGATGTGTTTGAGTAACATTTCCTGTGTGTCCAGGTGGAGCTTAAATTGTGCAAAGTGACTCTGAGTTCAGTGTGCTCATTCTGTAAATTGTCTAAAACAAGAACTCTCTGCCTTCCATGCATCTGTTCAGTTTGTGGTGCTTACATTTCCACTTAGGGTTGTACTTGGATTTTAGATCTCTTCTGTCTTTCAAGCAAGTACTAACCTTGATTTGTGTGACAACCAGGCAAAACTTGTGTTGGCCAGTAGATGAGGTTCTTGAATGACAGCAGTATTGTATCTCTGGGTGAAATCTTGAGTCAGCTGCTTTTAACACAGTTGGTTTGCATCATACTGGATGTTTAAAGTGAAATGTATCAGCTTGAGTGATTTAGTATTTAAAGGTCTCATCGCTGTACAGCTAATCAAATATGCCTTCTTGCATTTAATTACTTATAGTAAATACAAAGTGGATTGTGCTTGCCTCAAAGAAAATCCTGAGTGTCCAGTTCTCAGGCGTTCTGAGCCTACAGAAAACATCAATACTGGATATGAAACCAGAAGGAAAAAGGGAAAGAAAGAGAAAGATGTTTCCAGAGAAAAGGAGACCCAAAATCAGAACATCACATTGGACTGTGAAGGAGCAGCCACCAAAATGAAAATCACAGATAATAAACAGAGGAAGCTCTCTCCCCTCAGGCTCTCCATTTCTAATAATCAGGTATTGACACGAAGATCTCAGAAATAAAAACTTTTCAACACAAATACCCTCCTTTTGTAGCTGCTAAAGTAGATCTGCTGTAAACCAGTCATTTCCATCTTTCAGGAGCCAGATTTTATTGATGATATAGAAGAAAAAACTCCCATCAGCAACGAAGTAGAAATGGAATCGGAGGAGCAGATTGCAGAAAGGAAAAGGAAGATGGTAAGTTGAGAAGCAAGTGGCTGCCTAAAGTCGTCGCTAAGGCGTTGTGACACCTGCTCTCCCCATGCTATTTGCTGCCTTTTTGGAGGCTTGTAGAATCTGAGTCTTTGTGAACTCGGATCCTTACGTGAACTTGGAGCTTAAAATGCAAGGCTTGCTGTGTGAGAACATCTCATCTGGGCTGATCACTGCTTTCTGACAACAGCCTGCTTTGTCTCTTTACTCGTATATAAATTTTTTACTGCCTCTAGATGATTTCTACCATGTCTTTTTGAGATGTAATTACTTGCTCTTTATTGTTGCTTCTTACTTGTAATGACAGTTTCTGTAGGTGGTATTGGGAATCAGGATTTTTGCCTGATCATTGCATTTGAGTTCCCAGCTTAAAAAGCCTCAGGAGTCTTAACTCTCAGAGATTGGTAGAAGAGTGTTACCAAACATAGCAACTTAAAATTTGCTTTTTTTGTGTGTGTTAAGGCATTCAAACATTTTAGCAAGTTCTTAAATCCAAAGCAGGACTCTCTTGTTTGTCAGGGTTGGTATGAATGCAAGCCAAGCCCTTCTTCAGAAAGTGATTGTAACATCTCCCTTCAGTCTGAGCTTCTGCTGAAATTGTCATGTCAACATATCTTGAACATGTTTTGAAGTACTTGAAAAAAACAAGGGGAGAGTATTTAATTACCTGTTTACTTATCTGAAGGATTATGACTGAAATTGGTCATGTTTGTTGTTGAATCCATCAGACAAGAGAAGAACGGAAGATGGAAGCTATCCTGCAAGCCTTTGCCAGACTAGAGAAAAGAGAAAAAAGAAGAGAACAGGCTTTGGAAAGAATCAGCACAGCAAAAACAGAGGTGAAATCAGAATGCAAGGAAGCACAGATTCTCAATGATACTGAATTCATTCAGGTAGTCATCTGGAGCTTTTATTTTAAACCATCTTTTAACAGGGCGTATTTTTTCAGTTTGGATGTCAAACTGCACTTAAAGATGTATGGAAATCTTTTTTTCCTCTGAACTCATATATATTTGACCAAAATCTGTGATACTTTAACATTGCATTATATTGGATCCTGATTTTTTTTTCCCAATAAGGTATGTATAAAATTGTTCAGTGAGGAATTTCGGGGACACGAGTTCATGCAAACAGGTGCACACCCCCAGCTGTATAAGTTGTCTTTCAAGTTCAGGGTACAGGTGTTCACTGATGCTGACCTTAGCCACAGGAGGTGGCTTTCCTGAGGCACCCTCTGTAAGCAGGAGGGTGTAAATTGTTCTGTGGAGAACAATTTGCTTCTTCTGTCGGTTATTCAGGAGGAGATTAAAACCTTTCTGTGCTTTTAAAGGAAAGGAATTATTAAAGCATATTTTATTTCTTGGCCTGGTTCAGGAACAGCATGGTCAGCAGGACCAGGGAGGTGATTCTGCCCCTGGACTCAGTGCTGGTGAAGCAACACCTTGAGTACTGTGTGCAGTTCTGGGCCCCTCAGCTCAGGAGGGACATTGAGGTGCTGGTGCAGGTCCAGAGAAGAGCAGCGAGGCTGGTG